GTCCTATCTAAACGATCTCCAGTCACTGTCTGGTTGAAAGTGAATGTTTCCACCGATTATGAATACTGAGGCAGTCTTTCTGAAACCACGTACGCCGTTCAAGCTGGCTTCCTTCAACGTTCGCACACTAATGCAGATCAGACAACAGATAGGGCTGGCTATGTCTTTGGAAGGTCTTAATGTTGATGTTTGCTGTCTATCCGAGACCCGTATTCAAGACTCTAGTGAAGTACTACAAATCCGCTCTCCATCTGTCGCCTCGAAAAGCTTGTTCCACGTGCGCTTATCCGGGGACCCTGTGGCATCTTCGTCTGGTCTTGCTGGAGTTGGTGTCGCACTAAGCGCTAGGGCTGAGGCAGCACTAATCGATTGGTTCCCCATTAACAGTCGGTTATGTGCTGTTAGATTAGAAAGTTCCATCAAAGTGAGAGGAAACCGGCGTGAGAAACGGTGTCTTTTCGTCATCTCCGCCTATGCCCCGACAGATTGCAGCCCGGATGCAATCAAGGCTAGCTACCATCAGTTAACAGTTCTTCTCCAGAAAGCGCGTTCGACAGATATTGTAGTACTAGCCGGAGACTTGAATGCACAGGTCGGGCGTCTAGGCATAGAAGAGAGTCGTCTAGGTGGCCGATGGGGACTTGTTGGTTGCAGGACAGATAACGGGGACCGTTTGCTGCAACTGTGCACAGACCACAACCTGTTTCTGGCCAGCACTAACTTCCGGCACAGTCATCGCCGGGATGCCACCTGGCGTCCTCCCTCTGCATCCCAAGCCTGGACTCAGATTGATCACATCGCGATCAGCTACCGCTGGCGTGGTTGTGTACAAGACTGCCGCTCCTTTTGGAGTACCTATCTGGAGTCTGATCATGCCCTGGTCTGCGCCAATCTCACCTTACTTTTCAGTGGCCTAAGGATTGACCACCACCAACGGATTGATATTAGTAAACTGGCTGCAACTCCTGTTGCAAGTAAGTACCGAGTGGAGCTAGCCTCTAGGCTAGCTAACACCCCACCGAAAAGTATAGATGAGCATTGGTTGCATCTTCACGACGCCATGAAAATGGCGAGTAAAGCCGCTTGCGGCTTCGCGAAACGTCCCGCTTACAAGCACTGGGTTTCTTCTGGCTCCTTACAACTGATCGAAGCCCGTCGGTCTACTCCGGGTGACCGTGAGTTTGACCACAAACGAAGGCTGTTACGTAATGAAATTGGGCAAAGCTTGCGTAAGGACCGGGAAGCCTGGTGGTCGGAGCGTGCTAATGAGATGGAAGCAGCAGCTGCATCTGGTAACTGCCGGAAGCTCTTCCAACTCATCCGAGCCACTGGCAGCAAGAAGTCTGGTGTGAGTGAAACAATCTACGAGGATGATGGGATGCCAATCACTAACATCTCCCGACGTCTTGGACGATGGGCGGAATTTTTCGAAGGGCAGTTCAACTGGCCTGCTGCTCCGGCAACATCAACCAGCTTGTCCTGCCCCCCATGTCCGGTGACGACTGATCCACCAAACGAGGCGGAAGTCCGCAAGGAACTCCAACTCTTGAAGCGCTACAAATCACCTGGCCCAGATGACTTACCTCCGGCTCTTTTTAAAGATGGTGGCGACTTTCTGACTAAGGAATTGACTGTGTTGTCTGGAAAGGTTTGGGAGCAAGAAAGTGTTCCAACATCATGGAATGAGTCAATAGTCGTCCCTATCTTTAAAAAGGGTTCGCGTTGTTCCTGCAATAACTATCGGGGGATAAGTCTACTTCCGATTGCGTCCAAACTATTGGCTTCTATCATTCTTCGTAGGTTGTTTAAAACCCGAGAACGATTGACTCGCGAGGAGCAGGCTGGTTTTCGTTCTGGTCGAGGATGCATTGATCACATCTTCACCCTCCGCCAAATGTTAGAACACCGTCATACTTATCGCAGGCCAACAATCGTAGTGTTTCTTGATATCAGGGCGGCCTTCGATTCGTTGGACAGGACTGTTCTCTGGGATTGTCTATTGAAGAAGGGTGTGCCTGAGAAGTTCATTAACATCTTAAAGGCCCTGTATACGAACACCTCAGGAAGAGTGAGGGCATACAACCACCTTTCTCCCTTGTTCCATTCGAGCAGTGGGGTTAGGCAGGGTTGCCCGATCTCACCATTCCTCTTCAACTTTGCCATCGACGACATCCTGGAAACAGCTCTGATGGATGTAAGTAGTGGCGGTGTGGATCTGTTGCCTGGAGAACGACTTCTCGACCTCGAGTATGCAGATGATATTGTCTTACTGTGCGATAATGCCCAAGGCATGCAATCAGCACTTAATCAGTTGGCAATCTATGTCCGTAGGTACAGTATGTGCCTTGCACCTTCGAAGTGAAGAGTAATTCTACAAGACTGGCAGGATTCTAATCCTGTACTCACCCTGGATGGTGAGCAGATCGAAGTAGTTGAGAAGTTCGTGTATCTAGGTAGCTATATAAGTGCTGGTGGTGGCGTGAGTGATGAGGTTGATGCACGTATAATGAAAGCCAGATCGGCTTATGCCAATCTGGGCCATCTTTGGCGCCTTCGTGATGTTAGTCTGGCTGTAAAAAGTCGGATTTACAACGCGTCGGTGAGAGCAGTTTTGCTCTATGCTTGTGAAACCTGGTCTCTCCGAGTTGAGGATGTTAGACGTCTCTCTGTGTTCGATCATCGTTGTCTCCGAAGGATTGCTGACATACAGTGGCAACACCATGTTAGTAATGCAGAGGTTCGGCATCGTGTGTTCGGGCACAGAGACGATAATTCAATTGGTGTCACCATCTTGAAACATCGACTTCGGTGGCTTGGACATGTTTTACGAATGTCGTCCCAGAGACTTCCACGTCGTGCATTATTTGCCGACCCTGGGACTGGTTGGAGAAAGCGGAGAGGAGGTCAGTGTATGACATGGTGTCGTGGCATGAAAGAGAGCTGCAAAGGGCTAGCTTCTGTTGGTCCTTCACGACTCCTTGGTTGGGGTCCGAGAGATGGTGCAACACAGTGGCTAGAGACGTTATCAGATATGGCTCAGAATCGAAGCCAGTGGCGATCCTGCTGCAACCTTCTTTTACTTTCTACATAAAGTATGGTTCTTACTTTCCTATTTGAAAGAGTCTTCTGGTTGTACATTTTAGTCCGCCTTATCTTTTCATCCCTTCTCTTCCTACTTTCATTATTTTGTGTGGCGCATATGTACCTGGTGCCCTTTTGTACCAATATATATGTGTTTAAATAAATAAACAGCCCCCGTGATGTTTTCGTGTTCGGGCTGATGTGGTGTTTTTTTGATACTTTTATGGTTCGTCATCGTAGGTGATCTGTTTCAATGTTTGGGGGCCTACTAAAGTTGAACGGAGATGAAGTGACCAACCAACTTACGTCAAAGTCACACATGAGGGTTAATACAATAAGTGGATAATCCTTCCGTCGCATTCACGTACTATGGCCATTTTAATGGTCATACAACACAAACAACGTTATTAGAAAAATATAATAGTAAGAGTAGACACAAGAAATGGTGAAACCCCTGCCAGATAGTACATTCCATGATGCACGATAGATTGATGTTCATTGGTTGTCCTTAACCCTGACGAGAATCGGCAACCTGTTTGGCATTCAGTGATCTGACTGCAGAATGATATGCCCACACATTTTTACTATTTAACACATTTTTAACAGTGACCTGAAAAGAGGATATCTTAATCGAGAGATTGGATAAAGAAGTACTTGAATACTTCTCTGTACATGCACATAAATGGGATTGAATTTTATGAAGCTAGGCAGAATTGGCGAATTATTTGCACCTTGGGATATGCATCTGAATGTTAGAGAAGGGTTGTTTGTGATGGAAAGCTATAGTTCTTGTTATATTTCCTCTAAAACTGCAAAGTAAATCAAGTTGACTAATAATCGTAGTATTGATTATAGGGTATAGTTTAGAATAATCAGCTTAGCACCCACGGAACCAAATTAAACTTCGAGCTTCCGTTTGGAAGACTCTGTTGAAGACCTCGTTATAAAGTAAAAGTTTTCCACTGATTTTCGCGTACTCGTTCGATTTCTAATCTGAATTTGATGTGTTTTATAGGCATGGTTTGGTAATAAAGCTTATTGTTGATCAATTTGATGCATCAACACTGTATACGTGCGATTCTTTTGTACAACGGTTGCAAATTTAGAACTTCTAAGGGTAGTACGTAGGGTTTATTTCTTAGCATTAGAGTTGTTTGGGTCGACCATCTACAATATTTCCTAAGAACGCCATATTGTTCTGAAGGTAGAAGGACATAATGTAAGAGATTCCCTCCAGATTTGTTCTTGAGTAAACACAGAGAATGGTTTCAAACAATTCCATAGGCAGGCATTTTTGATGTTCTACATAGAGCCCTCAAGATAATGTGGAGCTTTTGGCTGCAGAACACCGAGACGAATAGTCTCCTAGACTATCATATTCAGTGATGCACGGGTTTTTTCTGTGACCAAGAGTGCAGCTTTAATATCATCGAGGAAGTGTGGAACGAACGGGATGTCACCACTGCTCCATTACGGTATTCTGAACTTGTCAGTATCGAGAGTCAAAAGGTTTTTATTATTCAAGTCTCATATCTTGTTGAAGTCTTTTTGAAGAAACAAAACGGCAATCAGATGAAGTATCTTTGTCCATACCTTGAGGTCATCTATGTGCAACAAATGTTTAGAGTACCAGAAAAATTGTTATTAAACAATAAGGAGACGAGTAGTCCGGGTACCGAACATTGTGGGACTTTAAGTTTCACTAAAAACAAATCCAATAACATACTTCGATCTCTGATGGGTTATAATTCAGTAACAACTAATACCGTAATAAAATTTCGTACACCTTCATTTTAAAAAGCCTTTAGTTATTGATATCGGTATTTCTGTCAGAAAAAGCCAATGACTCTGGTTATCATACTCTGCATATTATCGAGTTCTAAATAAGACTATAAACCGAATAATGCCAAATTATCATTAAAAACTTGGAAGCACTGGACATCCGCTTTGTCATATCATGGGTCTCCTCAGCAATGCACGTCCACAATTCTGCACTTTTTTGAGTTTAATGTCCAGCGATTATCATTCAGATCAAGTTTTCGTTTCTATTGAGTTGGTATATTTGTAACTTTCAAGTCTTTTATTTTGGGCACTTAACACTTAAGAAGTTACATTTGGATATTGACCGTTTGACGGCTGTCCCCCGCGTTTTCTGAGGTCTTGCACGCAATACTGTTTCCTAGTGAGTCAAGATGCAGATTTTCGTGAAGACACTTACTGGAAAAACTATAACTCTAGAAGTTGAGCCTGCTGATACAATAGAAGCAGTTAAGGCGAAAATCCAAGATAAAGAAGGCATCCCACCAGACCAACAACGTTTAATTTTTGCTGGCAAACAACTGGAAGATGGACGAACTCTTTCCGACTACAATATACAGAAGGAATCAACACTCCATCTTGTCCTTCGTCTTCGTGGTGGTATAATCGAGCCTACCTTAAAGGCATTAGCTCAAAAATATAACTGTGAAAAGATGATCTGTCGAAAATGTTACGCACGTTTGCATCCGAAGGCCACTAATTGCCGCAAAAGGAAGTGTGGTCACACAAGTAATGTAAGACCCAAGAAAAAACTTCGTTAAGCCCTAATTAAAGCGAATAAATTTTGTATGGAATCGGCTTTTTGATTTTTTTCCAAGGTCAGACTGTCCCTGTTTTTTGTGGATAAGTACATTTATGCTGCAATTGTTTTTAGCAAATATTGTTTCCCCTCCGGACAATAAATTTGAGACTAGCAATCCTATCTAGAGGGCATGAAACGGGAATCTTCTGAATTGTATTTCAGATGTGGTACTGTCAACTTAAACCGTTGTGGGTGTCTCAGTTCCTGATATTTAGTTAGTGTCGTAGTAGCTGATCTTCATTTTATTGTCATTGGGGTCTATTTTTTCGCGTCATTGTGTGAAGTTAGTTAAGGACTCGGTTGTTACCATTTACCCTTATTGTTTTCAAAAACTACATTGCACACAACTTTCAGGAACACCACCGTCGTGTGTCGCAAGTTACCGTCTGAACTATTTTTTAGCTTTAATGAATAGCAATATTCGCGAGTGGTGTATTCTAAATTTAAATTCAAGTCTGCTCTAAGATTGTTAGTCTGTGTACTTGTTTGCGTATATGAACTTGTGAATCAATGTCTTCAGTGTTATTAATTAAATTACCCTAAGAGAATAGCACATTCCAGTCTGTTACTCAATCACAAACAGTGGTCGGTTAACTCTGTTGTGGTATAACCTTCGGGTTTGGTATTTCCCCTTTTTATGGAGATGTCGTGGTTATTATCCGTGATAGGTCGTTTTGCTGTGGTAGTGCATTTGTATGTGAACCTAAGGCTGGGGCACGATACCTTATGTTTTCCGTCCAGTGGTTTAGTAAGTTTATTATTATAAATCACAGTCTGTTCGACGAGGTTTTTGACTGTCAACACCTCAAGTGGTTGTTTAATCTACAAATGACTATCCCAGAATTCTCGAGTTCGATTAAGTCCGTTTTTGGCAGACTGGAGATCACTTCCGAATTTGCATCATTCATCAACTACTTTTTGGCCCGTTTTAGTCGTATGCTACTCACTCATCTGAAAAACTTAGTTTTTACGGTCATTTCGGATCTTTTGTGTGCTCTATTTAATTATCTTTATCTGATACAAGGAGGCACTGAATGCATATGCGCCAAACTTCACTCCATTTGTGTGAGGTTGGGATACTGCCCGTGCATCAAAACCAAAGCACGTGATTTTCTTAGGGAGCCACTCCCCGAGAATTTAACCTAAAGGTCTAATTCACAGGGCAGTTGAGCAACGTTAGAAGGTGCAGTCCCATGATAGCCGGTGACCAACAATAGGTTCATACACAATTCCCGACCGTTTCTGCTACCTTGACGTGGTGGTCGGGCTTGCCTATCCTGATGATTCAATCGAGCTATACTGGCTGGAACAATCGTTCCTCAAGGTCCTACCATGCCTGGCAGGTCGTTTGAAGAGCGGTGAGACTAAAAGCAGCAAACCCAAGGTCCGAAGGCGAAGTCGTACTGCCGACTGTATAGAGGTGTGACAGCAGTAAGGTGTTTCCTTCAGACAACCAGCATGACAGCGATGCTGCCTTCCCACAAGGAGGGGTGGGGTTAGAAAAGGTCGACCCTAAAAATGCACACCTCTCCTTATCCCACGGATATCCGTCTCCGGCGGTAAGGTTTTTTTTGAAGAACGGAGCTAACACAAAAAGGTCGTGTGTGACCGACCTCAAGCAGTTGTCCCTTGGGCACTGCAGTCACACTCTCAGGTTACTAAGCCCACTTCTAATCCAATTTCATTTTCAGGTACCCCCAGGAGAACCCTTCCACGGCGTGGGAAACCAGGAAGTGATAACTGCCCTCATACCTCTAACAACACTCGAGACCACTGTATTCTTAATCAATCTCCTTCTTCAATTCCTACTATTCCTTCTACCTCATCTTTCAACACTAAACTTCCTCTCTCGGTTTCCTCCTCAAGTGTCACCATGGCCAACGATTCCAGAGCGCGAAACGCTGTCCCAGGTCTACTAAAACCTCACTCCAAACTACACATTGGAGCCTTCAACGTACGTACCCTATGCCAATTCGGTCAACAGGCCTCCTTAGCTAAAACCTTAGAATCTCGTACAATTGATGTATGCTGTGTCTCCGAAACACGCATACAGGATCCCAGTGTGGTCATTCACTTGACCTCACCTCGCCAAAATGGACAGCCGACGAAATACACCCTCCGTGTATCTGGCGACCCGTTAGCTAGTTCTCGCGGACTTGCAGGTGTAGGCATAGCACTAAGTACAAGGGCAGAACAGGCACTACTGGAATGGATCCCCGTTAACAGTCGCCTGTGTGCTGCCCGGTCAAATGGCTCCGTAAGAACTCGGAAGGATAGGGACACACATCGTTGCCTTTTCGTCGTTTCTGCCTACACTCCCACTGATTGCAGCCATGATGAATTGAAAGACGACTTTTACAGAAAACTGAGCTTCTTCAGAAAGCTGAGCGCTCAGACATAGTAGTCGTAGCGGGTGACTTTAATGCCCAGGTAGGCAGCTTGAATCAAACAGAAAGACATTTAGGTGGGTGTTTTAATATTCCGGCTGAACGAACCAATAATGGTGATCGTCTGTTGCAACTATGCTCAGACAATTGTTTATTTTTAGCAAGCACTAATTTTAAGCATAAGGAGAGACATCGTCTAACATGGTGACCACCTTCACCAAACCAACGATGGACTCAAATAGACCATATTGTCATCAGTCATCGTTGGAGAGGCTCAATAGAAGATTGTCGCTCGTATTGGAATACTTGTTTAGACTCTGATCACGCTTTAATACGAGCGCGCATTTGTCTGCGCCTCAATGGACACAGGAAAAGTACACTAAGAAGACCCATTAGGATTGAACTGGAGGACGAGAAAGCCAAATGCGAATTCCAGAAACAACTGAGTTCACATCTAGGCAGTTCTGTAAACGAGACTGACCCAGATGTTGCTTGGAAAGACACACGAACAGCTGTGGAAACAGCAGTAACACCTATTAGTTATTTAAACCATAAGGCTCCAAAAAAGCAGTGGATTTCTTCTAAGTCTATTTCACTGATGGATTCGCGTAAACTCATCCCATCAGGCTCTGAACACGACGAAGAGCGTAAACAAATTAGATCTAGGTTAACTAAAAGTTCAAGGAACGATCGTGAGCAGTGGTGGGCAACGAAAGCAAAAGAGATGGAAAAGGCAGCGGCTGTAGGCAACACCAGGCAACTATTCAGACTAATAAAAGAAACCGGAATTAAGAAGTCAAGTGTAAGTGAGACAATCTCCGAAAAAGACGGGACCCCTATCTGCTCTCAACCCAAACGTTTAGAACGATGGGCGGAACACTTTAAGGAGCAGTTTAGCTGGCCTTCAGCTACTGCACAAATACCCACTATTCCTAGAAAACCTGAATGGAACATTGAAGTAGGCCCCCCGACCCTACTTGAAGTTCAAAAGGCTATAAGTAATCTGAAACGAGGAAGAGCAGCTGGTCCTGATGGATTGGTTCCAGAGGTCTTTAAATATGGTGGTCCAGTTTTAGCGATTAGGTTGACTAATATTCTGGCTAAAATCTGGGAGACGGATGTAATCCCATCCGACTGGTCACAATCACTGATTGTCCCAATATATAAAAAGGGGTCAAAATCATCCTGCGATAACCATAGAGGGATTAGTCTGACTAACATAGCATCTAAAATACTATCCTCGATAATTAGGTTCTGTGGCAGTGTCTGTCATTGAAAGGTGTACCTGAGAAGTACATAAACCTTGTGAAGGCTCTTTACTCGAACATTACCAGTCTAGTGAGAGCTTATGGCGAACTGTCATATGATTTTACAACCTCAAGTGGTGTCCGTCAAGGCTGTCCACTATCCCCATTTTTGTTTAACTTCATTGTAGACCTGTTGCTGGAAATAACACTCTCGTCGACTGAATTTTCAGGAATTGATCTTCTACCAAGAGGTTCACTTATCGACTTAGAATATGCAAATGACATAGTCCTGTTTGGTGAAGACGCTGGCAAAATGCAGAGTCTTCTGTTAAAATTAAGGAATAATGCCAGGATGTTTGGGATGCGTTTCTCCCCATCCAAATGTAAATTGTTACTCCAGGACTGGCCTGCGTCAACACCCAAACTAAGGATAGGGAGTGAAGTAGTCCAACGCGTCGACAACTTCACTTATCTTGGAAGTCTGATCAGCCCTAATGGGTTGGTGTCTGACGAAATCTCAGCACGGATTCAAAAAGCTCGTTTGGCTTTTGCCAACTTATGTCACCTATGGCGAAGACGAAATATCCGTCTATCAATTAAGGGACGAGCGTACTGTGCAGCAGTCCGTTCTGTTCTACTTTACGGCTGCGAAACATGGCCATTAAGAGTAGAAGACACTCGTGAGTTACTAGTATTTGACTACAGATGCCTTAGAAATATTGCTTGCATCTGCTGGGATAACCGGGTAAGTAATAGCGAGGTTAGACGCACAGTATTAGGGAATGATGGTAAAATAGTTTATGAGGTCAAGAATCTTCATCGACTGAGATGGTTGGGCCATGTGTTACGTATGCCTGAACACCGATTACCACGACGCGCAATGTTGACCAGTGTAGGGGATGGTTGGAAGAGAGTTAGGGGCGGCCAAACCAAAACATGTCATCAGTCCACAAAGTCACTAACTTCTAGTCTGAGCCATGTTGGTAGATGCAGACTACCTGGTTGGGGTCCACGTGACTATCGTAACCAATGGTTGGAGACTGTGTGTGACATGGCTCAGAATCGATCACAATGGCGTAGGTGTATACACTCTTTATCTTCCCTTAAACCTTGAGATTAGAATTGCTTCATAACTTTTTTCCTTCTTATACTATATCCTTATATACAACCTTTCTTTATATACTACCACCACTAAATTTATTACTTCTATGAATCCGGTGTTCATCTTGTTGTGCTAATGAGTGAGGTATGGCAACTTGTACCGATGCATATATGTGCCTGGTCCTACGTTGTCGCTGACTAACTGACTGACACAATTCCTTACCTCAGGATCCTGGAGCCCATGTGCACCTTTGT